GACTCATGCCTGTAATCCCAACACTTTAGAAGTCTGAGGCAGGAGGATTGCTTGAGGCCAGGAGGTTGAGGCTGCAGTGAGCCCTGATCACGCCACTGCGCTCCAGCCTGGATGACAGAGCTAGACCTTATTTCAAAAACAAAAACAAAAACAAAAACAAAAATCTGTATGACCACTATGTTCATTAATTTATCCATGCCCACATAACCCTGTGACCCATTAAGAGAGAAGATAGGCTTAAAAATGTAGACTGTAGAGTCCACACAGCAAGGGATCCAATCCAACTTCTACCATGCATTAGCTAGATCAGCAGTCCCCAAGCTTTGGCACCAGGGACTGTTTTTGTGGGGACCCAGCAGGGGACATAGTTTCAGGATGAAACTGTTCCACCTGAAATCATCAGGCATTAGTTAGATTCTCATAAGGAGTTCACAATGTAGATCCCTCGCATGCATAGTTCACAATTGGGTTCAGCCTCCTATGAGAATCGGATGCCGCCACCACTAATCTGACAGGAGGCAGAGCTCTGGCAGTAATGCTGGCTCGCCTGCCACTCACCTCCTTCTGTGCAGCCCAGTTCCTAACAGGCCACAGACTGGTGCTGCTCCATGGCCCAAGGCTTGAGGATCCCTGATTAGATAACTTGGAGCAAGTAACTTGACCTCACTTAGCCTTAGTTTTCTCATATGTAAAATATGACAACAGTACGCATCTCATAGGATTAAGTTAACCAACCAATGTGGCAACATTTACTTTAATGACTGCTGTGTTCTAAGTACTGGGTCAATGTCAACTGTGGTTGCCGTCAGTATTATCTTCTCATAATTTACTTTACCCAAGCTGGCCTGGCATGGATATGAGAACTGCTACAGCGCAGAGTATAAGGTTTCTTTACCCACAAAACACAGCATCATAATGAATGACCCTTATTTGTTCATCTTGAAACTTCCAGAGACTTCATCCAGTTTGTTTTTGTCACTGTTATTTCTAATAATTGTCTGCCACCTTAGATGCATGACACTCTAATTTGAAGAGTGATTTCATTTTGAAGGAATATAGCAGAGCGTGACTCAAATGAGATCTTCCACAAAGAAAATCCTATTTAATAACTGTGATGTAGAGAAAACTGTTTTGAGCAATCCATAGATGATTCAACACTCTCAGGGTGTGAAAGTAGGACTAAGGTGGCTTTAGTAAGTAATGATTTGAAAGCATGCATCTGTATAATGATGTTTCATAGTTACAAAGCAACCATAAACATGTATTTTGATGGTTTGGTAATGATATAGATACTTACGTTCTTATTGATTTTAGTGACGGTCAGGTGGGTGAGGGAAACTGTCTAGACATTGTCACCTAGTTTTTTAAAATTGATTTCTCATTATTTTGAAGAAAGTACCTTTTCTGGACAAACAGTATTTAGCTTCAGAATATTCTTTCTATTCTATTCTTCACTGAGCTTTGTGTGTAGAATTTCAAAGAACTTGGAGTTTCTGAAGTTTTTCTTGTATTGTGGAGTATGTCATTAGAGTGTCAGTCTGTGCAGGCTGCTATAACAAAATACCATAAACAGAAATTCATTTCTCATAGTTTTGGAGACTGGGAAGTCCCAGATAATGGTGCCAGAAAATTTAGTGTCTAGCTGAGGATCCGATTCCTGATTGCTCATAGCTCCTGTAACCTCACATGGCTGAAGAAGCAATAGATCTCTCTAAGGTCTCTTTTATAAGTTTGCTAATATCATTCATGAGGTTCTACTCTCATGACCTAATCATCTTTCAAAGTCCCCACTTCCTAACAGCATCACTTTGGGGGCTAGAATTTCAACATACGAATTTGAGGAAGGACATAAAACCATTCAGATCATAGCACAGTTTTAAATTTTTTGGTGAATGTGCCTTAGTTCCCTATTGGCAAAGTACATATCACTCTTCCTGCAAAAGTTTAAGAAATATAAAAATGATATTTTTATTAGAACGATATTTGGTTCAAGGGATCAGTATCCACCTAAATGGTAAAAGTCTTAAAACAAAATTGTTCTCAATGTATTCTCTTTCTTCATCATTCAAACAAATACTAAGGATGATTACTTAATTTTATAAATATTCCTTGATATTATCCTCTTGATAGTATTCCTTCTGGCCTAGTTTAGTTGAAGGTTCCGATACTCTTACATGTAGGAGCAGACGAGTGTCATAAGTGATGGAAACAGAATTCCTGGGAAGAAATAGCAGTGGGATCTTGGAAAATGGGTTGGGATTACCCTCATTGGGGTACAGTTGGTCTCAGCTGAAGAGAATGACTGACCCACACCCAGTGTGGGGACTAAAGAAAAAAAAATCTGAAAAATGGATGTATGTAGTCCATGGACTGCAAATTTGAAACCTTTATTTTACACTCCCATCACCTTGCTTCTGTATTGTGGCAGTGGCTCCTGCCTTCAGCTACACAGATGTCCAATCCATTCTCTGTATTAACACCAGAGTAGTGTTTCAAAGTGTCCAACAATAATCTCATGCCCCCCCTCCTTTTTTTTTTTTTTTTCTGAGACAGAGTCGATCTCGGCTCACTGCAAGCTCCGCCTCCCGGGTTCACGCCATTCTCCTGCCTCAACCTCCCCAGTAGCTGGGACTACAGGCACCCACCACCACGCCTGGCTAATTTTTTGTATTTTTAGTAGAGACAGGGTTTCACCATGATAACCAGGATGGTCTCAAACTCCTGACCTTGTGATCCACCTGTCTCGGCCTCCCAAAGTGCTGAGATTATAGGCGTGAGCCATCGTGCCCGGCCTCACTCCCCTTTTTAAAACAATTTCCACATCACCTAATTGTATACTGCATGAAATACAAAAGTCTAAGTTCTTCACCATGACATATAAGGGACCCTTCTTGGACCCTGCCTCTTCTTTTGTTTTCAGTTTCACTTCTCACCACTGTCCCTCCCTAATACAGTATGCTTTAAAAATACAGAATTGCATGTCTTTGTCCAAGTACGCCGTGGTACTGCTGCCCCTGCGCTTGTTCTGTTCACCTGCAGTTTTACTCTCACTCTGCCCAATTGGGAGACATCATTCAACCCTTACTTAGGCCTTGGTACCGCTTTGAAGTCTCTCCTCTCATGCATACTTGCTAAGCTATACTACATAAGGGCCTCAGAATAGAGTTCTCTTTAAATGCCTTGCATGTATCACATCAGTCCGTTCAAGTTTTTATTCCCTATCATCTGCCCACTTTATTAATTAGCTTCTGTTCTCCTTTAATGTACAGACCTTATCTGAATCTTTTTTGTCTTCTCGGTGTCTGGCAAGTAGTCCAACACATAGTATGCATTAACCTGTTGCCAACATATATTCCATGTTCTGATACGAAGGTGATAAGAAAGAATAATGAATGTTTCATGAACATTTCTTAAAGGGATAGAATTATTTGGGAAGATGTGAAAATATTTTATCTCCAAGGCAATGCATTTATTTGTTTATTTTTTGATCCTTTAAGTCATATAAGGGCTATATGTTCTCAGATGTACTTTATTCTAGGAATTTCTAATTTAATGTACTCAAACACAAAGCACTGTTTAGGAGAGCAGGCAAAAGTCCCATAAATCTCGGTTGTAAGTTGATTTCAGAAAACACTCATCCGCACAGTGTCACCCAACTGTTGACTGATTAGACCATATCAGGCAGTATCTCCACTGGTTGTGTTTAATGTGCATTTATATGGGGTTGGCTCATGATGCTGTTTGAAGTAATCTTCTCTTTACACTACACCAGGTATACGGTTCATAATTTTTTGACCTGTGTGATTTATGTGTCTGTTTTCTACAGCTTTTGTTTTGGTATCAGAAACCATTAATCCTTCAAAATCCTGCAGTTGTAATGTTAACTGCCAACAGCATTGATTTGCAATTGGCATGAGAGTATGGTTCAACCATTTCATAATAATTCTAATCTATTTTTAAATGATGACCATTGTACCACTAAAGTAATCAAATATAGAATTTCCCCTAACTCTTCAACAAAAATATATTCACTCTATTCTTGGCCTCAGGTTTATTTCCTTAGTTTTACATAAGTTATTTTGTTAAACATAATGTTTAGCAACTCTTAGTTTACCTAGTACTGAAGTATAATTAATAAAGTAATTGTCACTCCTCTGGATTATTTTTTCTGAATTTGTATAGATATTAATACATATGTTATATATTGTTACATGTGGATGTATTGTGAGGAGAGCCAGCTATGTCTCTTGCTGCTAAACAGCAACACATTTTATTTTTAATTTCCCTGTATGTTTCATAAAGTCAAAATATTAAAGGCTAATTTTCAGTGTCATTACAAACTATGTAATTTCACTATGGATTCTCATAGTGACTACTGATACCATAGAAGCCTTCTTAAAAATTACAGGTTTTTAAGACTTCTAGGGTATATACTTCATTCTGTGAATAATTAATAAGAATAGTATAATTCTTAGTATAATATCATAGTATAATTCTTCAGCCTCCATAGAGTCTATAATGGTGATTTTGGCACCATTAAACCTCAAATGAAATATTTCTAAAAATTATGGATAGAGATATTTGTTTGGATGTGTAGGGGGGAGATGACATGAAGCAGAAGTTATTGAGAAGCAATGACTACAAATATGTGGGTCAATCCAAGCATATGTTAGCTTATCTGCTACAACACCTGCACACCTCACTAAAGAAAGAGTTTGCAAAAGGATATCAAGTCGCTTGGAAAAATAATGATCTAACATTTAGCTCATGTGAAAGTAATTCATTTGTCTCATAGGACTTTAGGGAGAAAAGACCAAAAGCTGTTTGTGGTTTGCTCTCCCCCAAAATCAGGTTTTCTCTAATTTTGAAAATATTCTAGGATTCTGGCTTCACTTAAAAAATTAGGCACTTCCAACTGAAGGCTAAGAGAACTCTTTTTAGAAAAAAAGGAAAAACCTAGGCATTAACTGACTATCATTAAGGAACTTGATGTTTTTCAGGGAATGATGTACCTGGAAGAAAGACGGCTCGTTCATCGGGATTTGGCGGCCCGTAATGTCTTAGTGAAATCTCCAAACCATGTGAAAATCACAGATTTTGGACTAGCCAGACTCTTGGAAGGAGATGAAAAAGAATACAATGCTGATGGAGGAAAGGTGGATATCTTTTTGAGAGCAATATTGCTTGAAAATGTAGTATAATATCCTTTTATCTCCTTATATTTTATACAAGAAATCAATAAGCCTGAAGCTTAGGAGATTATAAAACCTTGGTTCTACCATTTGCCTTTTCTCCTGCTCAGGGTATGTCTGTGTGTGTATGTATTTCATGTACACATATATATGCCATATATTACCAGCTTCTATTTCTCAAAAGTAGCTAAAATAAGGTGATACATGGTCTGTACCCAGGTGACCTTCATGTTAGGTCCAGTGGTGGGAAAGGGGTAGATCCTTAGGGCTTCTAGAAATTAAACTTTAACACATGGCTGTAGAAATTGTCCCATTGATCTAAAGACTATAGCACTAACTCTGACAGATAACATACCTTCTCTCTTATAGACTAGAGAAAAGTTTAGGTGGTACAAACAACCCTGAACAGAGCCACTGCCTCATCTAACTTTTCTGACCCTCTAGTCTCAGCCTGTGCCTGACAACGGCATTCCTGACTCTTTCACCCACTCTATGGTCTCAATCCATGCCTTAGTACCATGTCTTGTATTTCCTCATTAACCTTCTCTTTAGCTTGCCTTTCTTGGCCAAACTATTAGGACTAGACTTCATATGGAGGTCCCTCTAGCTTCACCTGGTGAAACCTAAGGTCAGGAAGCCCGAATGAAATAAGCAAATGCAATCTTAGCCTATGGTGACCTATAAGCTTACACTAACAAAAAAAAAAACTCTGTTATTCTCATGTCATGTAAATATATTTATTATATGCTTTATTTATCATGGGTCATCCAAATATATATTATAAATATTTTGCAATGTTAGGTTTCCAAATGCTTAACTTCATCATAAGGCAAAAGAACACAAAAATTTTTTAAACTACCCTATTTTGCCTGTTTGCTACCAAACTGCAGTAGTCTGAGACCACAGCTTTGAAATTCACTATAAGACTGCACAGAAGTTGAAGTCTATAAATCACATGGCTTCACTTGTCTTGAGAACATAAGATTTGAGACATAAGATTTGTCTAAAGCAAGATTCATTACCGCTTTAAATACTTGGTAACCATTAAGTCTTTATCAAGCTACCTGTGATTTAAACTTACTTCTTTAACACAATGTCCGTAGTCCATAAAGTCTGCTAACTCCTTGCCCATAGGGAAATTACTTTCAATGTGTCTTCTGTTCCCTTTCACTGAATACCATGATTCTGTCATAGAGTTACCTTGGTGTCACCTTGGTGAGCAGCCAGCCTCATGATTTCAAAGGCCTATTTAGTTTTAAGCTTTCAACTGCACAGTAGAAGTGTTTATCTTTATTCCATAGAATCTAATTCTATTCCCAGCTATATAATGCTGCCCTTCATAGTTGAAACTCATTCTGCTGGCCCATCATCAGCAGGATATGTGGGTTGAGTTGTTTTTCTTGTAGTGATGATAGATTTGTGCTGATCCCCTCACATTCCTTTATAGAGTTCCTATTTTGAAAATGGTACATATTTTCGATACTGGCTAACCAAGATGAGAGAGGTCATTTGAAGCTGGAAAACAAAGCAAGCCTAACTTTGGAATTCACGATTTTAGGCCTTTTATTGGCCAAATTATATGAGAGGAGAAGGGAGGCGGCAAGTATAGAAAGAGTCCATTGTACTGGTGGCCCAAAATGTGTCTGAGGGTGAAAAGGGATAACTGAAAATATAACAAATCTCGTTTGTTGAGAAAAAACTATAAACACATTTTTAGAAGCATGTGTATTAGATGTTTAGATTTGACACTGTAAATCATATTTACTAGCAACTTAATTACTGAAAGTTAATTAAGAACTATAGAAAGTTATCCCTACTTAATTATTTTTACCTTTAATTGTTTATAAAGCTTTTTTAAAAAATAAATAAGTATGACCAAGCATGGTGGCTCATGGTGGCTGTAATCCCAGCATTTTGGGAGGTCAAAGCAGGCAGATCACTGGAGCTCAGGAGGTCTAGGTCAGCCTGGGCAACATGATGAAACCCCATCTCTAAAAAAATGCAAAAATTAGCCAGGCATGGTGGCGCACCCCTGTGGTCCCGGCTACTCAAAGGCTAAGGTGGGAGGATCACTTGAGCCTGGTAGGCAGAGATTGCAGTGAGCTGAGATTGTGCCATTGCATTCCACCCTGGGTGACAGAGTGAGACCTTGTCTCAAAAAATAAATAAATAAAATAAAAAATGAATAAGTATAGTATGTCTTTAGATTATTTCACTTTATGCATTTTATAAATTAACATATATTTATAGTTATATCTACACACATACAATTTAAAAAATATGATTAAGTCCAGCCCAGAGATTCACATTTATGAAATACATAGAGAAATGAATTTTTAATGTAATTTTAAAACTTTCACTTCTTACTTCCCTATAGATGCCAATTAAATGGATGGCTCTGGAGTGTATACATTACAGGAAATTCACCCATCAGAGTGACGTTTGGAGCTATGGTAAATAAATCTTCTTTGCGAATTAAAGCTTGTAAAGCAAAAATACACATGTTAAATTCATGTGAAATATCCTAAGCTAAATTATTTTGTTGTGTTATAAATATCTATTTATAAGCCTAATTTCCTAAAGGAGTTAACTCTTTGCTTTCTCAATGAAAAAAAGAACAACAAAATATTCTCTTTTATTTTATTTTACTTTAAGTTGTGGGATACACATGCAGAACCTGCAGGTTTGTTGCATAGGTATACATGTGGCATGGTGGTTTACTGCACCCATCAACCTGTCATCTAGGTTTTAAGCCCCGCATATATTAGGTATTTGTCCTAACGCTCTCCCTCCCCTTGCCTCCCATGCCCCGACAGGCCCCTGTGTGTGACGTTCCCCTCCCTGTGTCCATGTGTTCTCATTGAAGAACAACAAAATATTCTAAATAGCACTCCTATCTGCCTTTTTCTGCTTTTTTCTAGTTTATTACAATGTAATATACTAATATCTCTGCTAAGATGTTTTCCATAAGCTTTGGTTTGATAGCAACGGGCCTGATCATTTTGACAGGAAAAATATTCAGCCAATTTTGGTTTAGGGACAATTTCATAGAATTTCATGGCGTTAATTTTAAGCAACTTTCAAAAACATAACTCTGAATATAGTAAATAGTCAAACAAAAACAAAACTAACTTTTTGTGTGTTTTTTACATATGAGAATTTTTATGGTCTATAGTAGAAAACAGATTATTGTCATAACTAAGAAAAATTACTGACAGCAGTAAGTTAGAGCAATGAACATGGTAAAAAGAGAAGACTGCTAATTACAACATTAATTTTAATTTACAAACTACTTGTGGAGTAACAGAAATGTTACAGAGTGAATAATATGAAGTGGAAAAGAGTGATATCTATAATTAGAACATTTATTTTATTGTGCTTAACTTAATTGTTAAGATGAGCTATTGAGCATCTGTCTGGCTACTTAAATGTAAGTCCGGTATTACCAAGAAGGAGTCAATATGGTTCTAAGTTTAAACATATCTTATAAAATTGGCATTTCTTACAAATAAAAAAGCATAGCACCCACTTAAATAAAAGGGTGGTGGTGAGTTTTAAACGCATGGTACAATTTATTTTACTCAAACTTAAGCTTAAAAAAAGTTTTACCTTTTTTTGCATTGTTGGAAAAAAAGATATAAACCATTCAGTCACTTCGAACTTACAACTCTTGTCAATACTTGACAAAACTTACTTCCTAAACTATTGTAAGAAGTGTATAGAAAAACATCTATTACATGTATTCTATGATAAATTTATATATTATATGATACAGATTAACATGTAGATTAGCATTTATATGTTACATGATATAGACAGGTTTATAGAATATATATTATGTCAGATTTATATATTATATATAATATAGTATATTTTATATATGTATATACTTTTTTCTTTTTCTTCTTTTTCTACTTACAATTCACTGAATCAAATGTGGCAATCTCCTGAAAGCAAATTTAAATTAGCTCAAAATATATGTAAAGTTGGCAGAACAGTCATATTTTTAATAGTAAAATTTGTCTTTTGGGGAAAATCTTGTTACTCAGGCTGTAACAATTTTCTTCATGTTGAGTTGCAAAATCCCAGGAACTGTTCATCAAAAATAAATAAAAAGATAGGTAGTACTCTGTTTTGAAACACAGCCCAGGTCATCAACCCATATTCATAAGACACTTAAAAATTTTTATGATATATCATAGTTGATTGCAAAAGGCGTAAAAGGCAGAGGAAGTTGCATAACCTTGTTTACAGTGCACCTTTATGGAAAATTCTCACTAGGTGAATTTTTATTTTTACAAAAATAAGCATCGGCTGTGATATACATCTTAAGATAAAGGAATTGCAAGTAAAATTTGAGATTGTTTTATTTTAGCTTTCTTGATATTGTTCTTTTGCATGAAACCATCCTTTTCTAACCCTATCTTGTCATCACCTTTACAAGCATATAATTGGATTATTATCAGAAGTAGAGTTTTTATATTTTGACTTTTGTTTTTGTATTTATATGTTTCTGTTTATTATATTTTCTATTATTTTGATTTACAGTTGCTTTGTATCTTGCTTATGTTGGGAGTTCTGATAGAGATGTGAGAGTATCTACTCTATCTTTTATAACTGCCTATCTAAGTTAACAAAATGTTCTCCTTAAATATATATACTAGGCCCAGCATGGTGTCTCGTGCTTGTAATCCTAGCATTTAGGGAGGCCGACGTAGGCAGATGGCTCAAACCCAGGAGCTTGAGACCAGCCTGGGCAACATGCTGAAACCCTTTATCTACTAAAAAATACAAAAATCAGCCAGGCATGGTGGCTCATGTCTGTAGTCCCAGCTACTCAAGAAGCTGAGGTGAAAAGATCATGTGAGCCTGGGGAGGTTGAGGGTCAGTGAGCTGTGATCATGCCTCTCCACTCCATTCTGGGTGACAGATTGAGACCCTGTCTAAAATGTAAAACATATCATTCTAAAATATAAAAAATTCTAAAATATAAAATATTCTAAATATAAAATATTCCAAAATATAATATATATATATATTCTGTAAGTATGACTATCTAGAGATGAACAGTCATCCACTTAACTTGTTGCAGCCCACCTCAGAGAAAATTTTTATGATATATTTTAGGAACTACTCCTTAATATACAAACTTAAAGATGTAATAACAATCAGTCAATTAAATTATCACTAGGTACATGTTAACAATATACCTAAAATCCTAAGATGTAAATATTTTAACCAAAAAAATCAGGTAATAATTAATATTCTATTATAAAGAATAATTTTAAATTCAACATAGGTTTATATTTTAAGCTTTGTATTTTTGTTATCAGTCAATGATAACTGTTATAAACTAAAAACGACTTCAGCCTGAGTAAATAATTCATTATAGATGGCAGTAGGAAAGAAAACATAGCTCTAATTAATGGATTTTATATTGAAAGATGACTGTATATGTACATCAACCAAAACTCACTTTGTAATATTTTTGTGCCCAGCTAGCCATTTCTGAACTTAAAAATCTTTACCCTTAAGAAAATATTATTTTAAACTATATGATCATTATATCACAAAAATGATACTTAGTGTGTATATTATTGCTGAAATCAGAACCATCATTATCATCAAAACTGGCTATTTGCATGCTAACATTTAGTGTATTTGCTTTTGCAGAGAAAATAAATGTCCCAGTGATTCAAGAAAGCCATTTTATTACCTAAAGAATAAACTACTTTTTATCCCCTTCACAATTTTGTTGATGCCTACTTCACATGTACTATATATTACATATGAAACATTCCTCACTCAGGCTTTCATATTTGCTAACGAAGTATATCTGTTTTATTCAACTGTTCTCTTTGTGTAAGGTAAAGAGAGTCACAATTCTTTATTGTAACATAAGGTAATTATTCCGGAAGCCTTTAATAGCAAAGATGCTAATCTTAAAGTTAGTCAATATCTTATTTTACTGGCAATCATATTTATTGTTACTGAATACATATGTATGTATAGTAAATGAATTGTTTTATGGACTGCAACATGGTATAGTGAAATATAACTTGGATCAGCAAACATTAGTATTACCTATAGGCAGAAATGGGAAACAGATTCTATACACTGATATCCACTGTAAATTGTCTCTTCTATCCATTAGAAATTCCAAGACAGTAATAAGAAAATTGAATTCCCCCACAAAGATTTTGACATTGGGGCTCTCAAAATGGATACAGGAATTTGTGGAGCTTTTTTTTTTTAATTGATTGGTGTTTTGATTGACCTATAAGGAGTATTCTTTTACCAGTGGTATATTGCCAGTTTGTTCAAAATATGTTGTTAATATGCTTAAGTAAGAATTTTTTCTCCAATATAGGAGTTACTATATGGGAACTGATGACCTTTGGAGGAAAACCCTATGATGGAATTCCAACGCGAGAAATCCCTGATTTATTGGAGAAAGGAGAACGTTTGCCTCAGCCTCCCATCTGCACCATTGACGTTTACATGGTCATGGTCAAATGTAAGATTGCAAAATAATGTTATCATCACCATCATCATTCTTAGTAAAGTAATAGCACAGATTACTCAATCTGTATAACATTTCTCTGTATTGAAAAATACAACAGTTCAAAAACAATTATGAAGGGAACATGTAAATGCCTCTTTGTTGTGACTATTATTAATATAAAGTAATATTCTTCCATGCTATGAAGTCAAAATTATGACTCTTTTACTCTCATAATCTCCATGACAGTCAAATTGCCTGTCATAAAGAGAGGTAATTAGTCACAATAATGTTCTTAGTAACATTACTAACAGGAATGTTAGTAATAACATTAGTGACCTTTATGGGAAAATATCAGGCTACATAAATGATCTAAACATGAAGGAAAAAAACTGGAAACTGATAGTTTTAAAAATTAATTTAATAGAAATGGGTCTATGGGTTTTAGTCAAGAGCAAATTAGCAGGATAAGATGGGAAGTGGGAAGAAATGAATCTAGAGTGAGCTAAAAAGATTATAAATGTTTACTTTTTTCAATTTGATCATTTGTTTACATCAAACTCTTACTTTTCTTTTTTCTTCCCATGCCCCAGTCACATATGTATTATAAATGTGTTTTTGAAGCACAGGCCCTTAATTTAAATAGAATTAAGGAACTCTCTGGAGTTTCTGGCTTAATTTAAGTGAGATTAACATGTAGCAATTTCTCTTGTATAATCTAAGGTTTTCCCCTTCTGATTTACACCGGGTTAGCAAAGAAACAAACTTGTGAAGGTGAATAAGCATCTTATTAATAAGAGACTTTGGACCCAGGTCTACTCAGATTTATATTCATGACATGTGTGATACATTCTGACAGTGAGGGAGGAAATAAAAAATGTTCTTTGCAGTTCAGGTCAGCATGCCCTTTTCACTAAGCATAGTTCTATTTACTCAATATTTAGTTGGAGAGAAACCAATACCTCAACTGTGGTTAACCTTTTTTGGCTTCAATAGTTTCAGAAACACCTATTTTCTCATTAGCATCTTGGCATTAGCAAGCATTTTTTCAAGTGAATGCATATAGAATACAGAGCATTTGAGCTTTGTTTGGAGATAAAAAAAAGCAGATGACATTAATGATACATAAAATCATACCCAAAAAATTCCCAGAATAAGAATAAAAACTGAATTTCCAGAAAAGGAAAGAAAAAGCTTTACAGTCTTATTCTATTAAATATTGTTTGGTAGATATCTGTGGAAGAAAGTTTAAAAACATGCATGTCTTATATAATCTAATCCTATAACTAGCATAGGAAATGATTGAAATTCATTAGCATTTAGCTCTGATGAAATTATATAAAACCAAGAAAACACTTTCTCTAATACAGAATTTTACCTTTCTTTTGGAGTTTTAATACCTAACAAGAGGATAATTTGGCAAGGAAATCAAGGAAAGCTTGGTACTTTTATTCTTGTCATCTCATTAGCTAAACAGAGCCTGTAGAGATAAGGTCTACTTTATTTAGACTCCCAGCTAAATAATAATACATACCTTGAAAATTGCTGATAGTATGTTTATGCTAGACAAGCTAGTACTAAGATAAGCTAATGTCTATTGCTGAATAGGCATTACCAATCACTTTGCATTAGTTTTGTTTTGTTTTTGTTTTTGTTTTTTTTGTCCACCAGGACAAATATAGCACAAGACATTTGCTTTTAATTTCTCTTTTCCCCTTTGTGCCAGTGTAAGCATTGTAACCAAATCTTTTCTCCCATGTCACTCCTAATACAAAATAGCTTATATTGCAGTCACCTCATCTATACCCATCAGAGAAAAAAATGTATCTTTTGTTTGACAGTACATTACATTTAGTTACGAATATCAACAGAGACTGATAAAGCCTTATCAATTGAGTTGTTTCTTTTACTAGCTTTCTTTCTTTTTCAGATCATTATGATTAAAACAACATTTTTCAAACTTTTGCTCATATTTTCACAAAATTTAAATTTCAACTCCTTTTAATTATGGATATAGTGACATTTTCACTGTGTAAATTTCCAGGTTGGATGATTGATGCTGACAGTAGACCTAAATTTAAGGAACTGGCTGCTGAGTTTTCAAGGATGGCTCGAGACCCTCAAAGATACCTAGTTATTCAGGTTAGTACATTTGACTTATGCGTTTAAGACTAGACTGATGACAAACTCACTGCAAAATGAGTAATATCGGGACTTTGGAACTGTGGGAATGACCACTAACATGCTGATTAAGCAGATTATCATGTGAAATGACTTACTTATGGAAAAGAGCTTTTTTACTTCATGTCAGATCCACCTTTTAGCACCTTCCCTTAGTATTCAAGTGGCTCTGCTATTGAACAGATAATTATGATTATACGTATACATGAAAAGGTCTTGATCCTCAGACACTTATTTTAGCACCTTGATTTTATTAACATTACGTGTAAGTCATGTTCATTAGTATAATTTTCATTTCTCAGAACAAAAGGAAGACACATTATTAATCTTGCCCGTGCTTGAAGACAGAGAATCAAAAGTTTCAGTATATTAATATTTAATTTACCCAAAAACATTTTTAAAAATGTTTTGTTTTATTTGGAGGGATAGGCAGTATCCAAGCAATAACTCAATTCAAATGAATTGATGCACATTTGAATCAACCAACCAGCCAAAGGAATATTTTTTATTTAACACTAGAAAAATAGACTGGATAATTAAAAATATATATATATTTCTCTATGATTATTTACACCTAAACTATAAACAAATGGGCCTTGGACTACAGTGAATTATGTTTCCTCAGTAAAACAAGGTAGCCTTTATTTACATATCAATAGTCTGACATAAAGATGAAAGCTAGGTTTTAGAAGATACTTATTTCCATTTATTTTTTCCCCAAAATTAGTTTTCATGAGCTGAAACTGTTTCCAAAAATTATGTAACTTTAAAAATATAGGAAAAATATTTAAGGTGAGGTGAGGAAGAGCATAACAAAGGTTTTGGTGTCTTTCTCATACTCCTTTACTCCATTTGCCACTTGCACTATGAGTTTTGAATGTCACTACTTTGAAAATGTAGCCAGTATGCTATAGAATAAAGTATAGACCCTATGGTCCTGATAATCCTACAGCATCAAACCAACCAAATAAAATAAACATTGATAAATCGATCACTTTTTATTGTTTATTCTTAAAGTTGCAACCCATACACGATCTGGGCAGTGAACAATTATTTTCAGACCTGAAGTTGATTTTACCTCCCTAAAATCATCTTTTGATTTTGCTTTATTATTCTCTAACGGTATTTATCATATTCTGCTTAAAGTGTGTTTACCTGGCCCTATCATTTCTAAGCATGTTATAGGTTTCTTAATGGCTGGTGGTTGTGCTAAAGACTTGTTGTTGTTGTTTTTTAATGTGTGTATGAATTTTTCAACCATTTGTTATGATATTACATAAATTTATTGCAAAGACCACATATTTAAGATAAGAAAGAAAGAATCATATTTGTGTCTGATGGGCAATCTTTTAGGGTGATGATCGTATGAAGCTTCCCAGTCCAAATGACAGCAAGTTCTTTCAGAATCTCTTGGATGAAGAGGATTTGGAAGATATGATGGATGCTGAGGAGTACTTGGTTCCTCAGGCTTTCAACATCCCACCTCCCATCTATACTTCCAGAGCAAGAATTGACTCGAATAGGGTAAGAAGGAATTATATACACATACCATATTATTTCTGAGATATACAATCAAGTAAATAGGGTATAAGCACTAGCATTTCAAAATAATTATATAGCTCAAATCAATGTGATGCCTAGATTAAAAATATACCATACCCACAAAAGATGTGCCAATCTTGCTATATGTAGTTAATTTTGGAAGACAAGCATGGACAATACAACATGTACTCTGAAATACCGTCAAGATTTTAGGAAAAGAAAATTTTCCTCATCTTAATTTATTTAAAACAAATCTTTAAAAAACAATTCCAGCTAATAAAACCATATGTGTATATAAATAAATGAAAAGTCCTATGAAGTAGGACTTTTTCTACTTTTCTTTCTTAAAAAGATATTACCATTTATTAGTCAAGAAGTAATACAAGTATTAATCTCTTTCACTCATTTAAGAAAAATTAAATATTTTCTGTCAAGCAGAAACACAGAAAACCGTGCAGTCCTTTGAACCTAATCATATCAAAAAGGCTGCTGAGAAGTAGATTTTTTTTTTTTTAATTATACTTTAAGTTCTATGGTACATGTGCACAACGTGCAGGTTTGTTACATATGTATACATGAGCCATGTTGGTGTGCTGCAGCCATTAACTCATCATTTACATGAGGTATATCTCCTACTGCTATCCCTCCCCCTCCGCGTCCCCACATTAGGACCCGCTGTGTGATGTTCCTCTTCCTGTGTCCAAGTGATCTCATTGTTCAGTTCCCATCTATGAGTGAGAACATGTGGTATTTGGTTTTCTGTTCTTGTGATAGTTTGCTGAGAATGATGGTTTCCAGCTGCATCCATGTCCCTACAAAGGATACAAATTCATCCTTTTTTATGGCTGCATAGTATTCCATGGTGTATATGTGCCACATTTTCTTAATCCAGTCTGTCACTGATGGACATTTGGGTTGATTCCAAGTCTTTGCTATTGTGAATAGTGCCACAATAAACATACGTGTGCATGTGTCTTTATAGCAGCATGACTTATAATCCTTCGGGTATATACCCAGTAAGGGGATGGCTGGGTTGAATGGTATTTCTAGTTCTAGATCCTTGAGGAATTGCCACACTGTTTTCCACAATGGTTGAACTAGTTTACAGTCCCACCAACAGTGTAAAAATGTTCCTATTTCTCCACATCTTCTCCAGCACCTGTTGTTTCCTGATTTTTTAATGATTTCCATTCTAACTGGTATGAGATGGTATCTCATTGTGGTTTTGATTTGCCTTTCTCTGATGGCGAGTGATGATGAGCATTTTTTCATGTGTCTGTTGGCTGTATGAATGTCTTCTTTTGAGAAGTGTCTGTTCATATCCTTTGCCTACTTTTTGATGGAGTTGTTTTTTTCTTGTAAATTTGATTGAGTTCTTTATAGGTTCTGGATATTAGCCCTTTGTCAGATGAGTAGATTGCAAAAATTTTCTCCCATTCTGTAGGTTGCCTGTTCCCTCTGATGGTAGTTTCTTTTGCTGTGCAGAAGCTCTTTAGTTTAATTAGATCCCATTTGTCAATTTTGGCTTTTGTTGCTGCGTTCCTTTGGAAGGGGAGATGCACTCTAAGTTTTTGAATTTCCAGCTTTTCTACACTGCTTTTTCCCCATCTTTGTGGTTTTATCTGCCTTTGGTCTTTGATGATGGTGACGTACTGATGGGGTTTTGGTGTGGGTGTCCTTTCGTTTTGTTAATTTTCCTTCTAACAGTCAGGACCCTCAGCTGTAGGTCTGTTGGAGTTTGCTTGAGGTCCACTCCAGACCCTGTTTGCCTGGGTATCAGCAGCAGAGGCTGCAGAAGATAGATAGAATATTGCTCAACAGCGACTGTTGCTGTCTGATTCTTGCTCTGGAAGCTTCATCTCAGGGGTGTACCCCGCCATGTGAGGTGTTGGTCTGCACCTAGTGGGGGATGTCCCCCAGTTAGGCTACTCAGGGGTCAGAGACCTACTTGAGCAGGCAATCTGTCTGTTCTCAGATCTCAACCTCCATGCTGGGAGATCCACTGCTCTCTTCAAAGCTGTCAGACAGGGGCATTGACCTCTGCCGAGGTTTCTGCTGCTTTTTGTTTAGCTATGACCTGTCCCCAGAGGAGGATTCTACAGAGGCAGGCCAGCCTCCTTGAGCTGTGGTAGGCTCCACCCAGTTTGAACTTCCCTGCAGCTTTGTTTACCTACATAAGCCTCAGCAAAGGCGGGTGCCCCTCCCCCAGCCTTGCTGTCACCTTGCAGTTAGATCTCAGATTGCTGTGCTAGCAATGAGGGAGGCTCTGTGGGCGTTTGACCCTCTGGGTCAGGTGTGGGATATAATCTCCTGGTGTGCCCTTTGCTAAGACCCTTGGCAAAGTGCACTATTAGGGTGGCAGTCACCTGATTTTCCAGGTGTTGTGAGTCTCAATTTCCTTTGGCTAGGGAAAGGAATTCCCTTCCCCATTGGGCTTCCTAGGTAAGGCGATGCCTCGCCCTGCTTCAGCTCTCGCTGTTTGGGCTGCACCCGTGGACCAGCACCAACTGTCCAACACGACCCAGTGAGATGAACCCCGTACCTCAGTTGAAAATGCTGAAATCACCCGTCTTCTGTGTCACTCACGCTAGGAGCTGTTCCTATTCGGCCATCTTGGGCACACCCCTGTAGATTTTCATTTCTAAGAAGTAGATTTACGTTTAGAAAGATGTTTCAAAAAAAGAATTTACATTTCATTTTAAATGGTAAACCTACTCTATATGAATTCCATTCTTTCTTTGAAAGCTGTCAAATCCATGCATTTGTTTATTTTTATAAATTCATTGCTCATTCATTCAACATATATTGAGTACCACTGTATGTGAAGTATTAGTATACATTTAAGACTCAAAGAATTTTGACACAACTTCTGCTTTCAGGAAGTGACCACCTTAATCAAAGAATCATACAGATATAGGGACTGAATAATAAGTGCTGTAATCCAGTATTCACTGACCATTACGGAGCATGAAGAACTACTAAATTTGTGTCTGTAATCAATTTCTTCCATTGATAAGATATAAACATGATGCTTAATTTTTTCTAGAAGATAATTTTCTCTTAATTTCCTTCTTTATCTAAGAACAGTATCATAGCTAGAACAAACAGCATCCAGTTTCTCTTGACCATAGTCATAAGAACATTTTCAACTTGCTGCTCATTATCTAACATAATTTGCTTTATTTCATAGTGACAGTAATAATTAAGTAATAATCCCCTGGTGTTTACTATTCAACACATATATGTTAACCTCCTTAATCCTTAAACAAACTTCATAAGGTTCTATTATTATCATCCCCTTCTTTCAAATGAAGAAACTTGCCACAGAGATGTCAGCTGATATGACTGGTGTCACACACCTAGTCAGTGCAAGAGGGGAATAATGTAAGCAAATATCTGCCTACTACACTGTAGTTTTGCTTCAAAGTTACTGAAGCATGTTATTTCCATGATGTGATTAGAGTCTGGGATTTGTCTTGTTTGGGAAATTCCCCAGGTGGTTTTCTTATAAAATGCATCTCAAATGTGCCCTACACCTTTTACTCATCTACCTCCATTTAGAAGATCTGATATGGAAAGGGACAAAGAGACCTCAGTTAATTTTTCTTTTCTATTAAAAATATATCATTATAGTACAAACTGAAAACTTTATCACATGCCCAATAGGAATAGATAGATAAACATTTTTAAAATTAGATCAATGGATAGGTAATGAACAATCAGTCTTTTGTTTGTGAGAGGGAAGAAAGCGGTTAAGGTGCATAAAGGAGGCTCTCTGTACATTTTGCAAAATGATCAAATTATATACCCTGGTATTTATAATTTTAAGTGACAAATTCATTACTTCTGGTTACAACAATGAAATTAAAAAAATAGTTTCTTAAGTTGTAATTCTATACATCTTTTTCTTTTTGTAAGAGTTCTTACATTTCAACATTTTGTTCATTTTAATTTAGAATTCTCAGTGCAAGAAATTCTTAATAAAGGTTTGCACTAACTAGATGGAATTATTGAGACAAAGTATAAATCACCCGAGGACTTATTTGACCTTTAGCCATCATTTCTTATTCCACATTATAAAACAATATTACCTGTAGATCTCTTTTAACTTTTTCAGTCCTTGGAAAAGAAATTGTGCTTTAATATCATTTTATATCATTTTATGTTCAGGCATTTAAAAAGCTTTATTTATCATCTATATTGTCCTAATGGTTTTCAGTCTGGCTTTACATAACTTTTACAGAAATTTCTAATATGTGCAAATGCCACATTCCTCCTTTCTTTCCTACATGACTAAATAAGAAAATAAATTACTTCCATTTTATGTTCGGTGGCTAAATAACATGCTAAGGGAACATCTTAAAAGTGAATTTTGATCAAATGTTTCTTAAGTATATGTGATAGACTTTGAAACCAAAAGAAAAAAAAATCATTTTGAAAATATAGGCTCCACTGCGCATTAATTAAGAAACTTTAGGTAATGATCTGAATATCTCTATTACTTTGTTTCCTCATTTTCTAAATGCAGTAGTGCCTATCTTATATGAGTGTTAGGCAATTAACTTTTTAAAATTGCAGAGTATTTATAATGCCAGGTAAATAAATTTTATTACTCTACTTTTAGAATCACCAGTTTCATTTTTCATTTTTACCATTTTCATTTTTAACTTTTTCCTTGTCAATATCATATATCATAAATAATCACACTTTCTTATAAGGTGCTCTACCCACTATCTATGAAAAGCTTGTTGATGCGATTACAGCTTGGCGAGCAAATTATTTCTACTGATGTGTTGTAACGTCAAATAAAGACAGAAGTAATTTTTTATAGCGCTTTTGATTTTTTTAAATTCCACATGTTTTGATAAATTACAACTTTAAAGCAATGAATCAATTCAAAATACAATATTAATATTTGTCCAGAAAGTTGATGAATACACATTTAAGTCATGTTAGAAAACACCTAATTTACAGCTGCTGTT